AAATTTATATTTTTTTTTTATTATTTCAATCTTCGAAATAATTTTCTATTCAAATTGAAAATCAAAAAATAGATTTGAAATAATCTTATGATTTTTTTTCAAATAATTTTAATTTAAAATTGAAACCAAGCTCTAAATTTTCGGTATAATTAAAACCAATTCGAAAAAAAAATTAATAACAATATTATTATATATATTATATATATAAATACTCTTTTTGTTATATTATATATTATGTGTATTATATGTTGTTGTTATTCTTTTTGTTATTTCATATATATGTACATATATTTATATTAAATTGATAAATTCAAACTATATTGATAATTATATAATTATGAAATTATACACTTAGAGTATCTGAAAAATATAGAACACCAGTTAATTGAAAATTCCTGAGATAATTTCAAGTAACATTTTTTTTTATAAAAATTTTCGTTACAATTTTGTTAACAAATTATTAACAAAAAAGCAATTATGGAATAGATTAATCAAGCCACGATAGTATTGGGTAGTGCCGCTAATCAAGCGAATAAATCCAAATAACATATATCAAAATAACATATACATGTATATTTAACATATACATATATTTTTTTTTTATGTTTGAATATAACAAATATTTTTTCAAAAAATTATATTGAATTACGTTTTATTCAGGAACAATGAATGAAACAAAATTGAAAAAATAATTATTATTTATATAGGATTCTTTTCATTACGATTTTTTTCTTTCTCTCCTCATTTATCATCTTTCTCTTCCTCTCTTCCTTTATTATTTTCTTTTTCCTCTTCCCATCTTTCTCTTTCTCTCCCCTTTTTACTATTTTCCTTTTCCTTTTATTATCCTCCCTTTTCTCTTATATTTTATTATTCTCCGTTTCATTCTCTTTTTTATTATTCTCCTCTGTCTTCCTTTTTTATCTTTTTCTTCCTTCTTTTTTTTATTATCTTTTTTGTTTATTATTCTCCTGTTCTTCCCTTCTTTATTTTCTTTTTTCCATTTTTTATTATCTTCTTCTTTCCCTCTTTCTTTTTCTCTCTTATATAATATATAGTTGTCTTTTCTATTATATATATTCCAGAATATTCTTATGATAACATAGTTATTTTCCTGAAATAAGTGATATCTTTAGACACTATGACTAATGATTGTTAATCATATGCAACAATCTTTTGTTATCATGAACTACTACAGAAACAAAAAGATATAAATGCAAATTTAATATCTAAACTAATTTAAAGCATCTGGTAAAAATGAAATATGAAAATAATGTAGATATCTTTTATATATATAATAATTATTATATCTATTATAATTAGGATATAATAAAATATGTAAAATAGAAATTAAATTAATTGTAAAAATTAATGATATCGTTTTAATATAATTAATTTTATACAAATTTTAATTTTTTTCATTATAATTGCAAAGTTTTAATTTATTCAGGAAAAAAAATATATTTAACATAATTTAAAGAAAAAAGTTATATTTAGTATTACATTTTTATATTTTTATGTTTTTTATTAATTGATCAAATAAAAAAACATGAAAAATATAAAATGAAAATAATAAAATAAATGAAGTTAATAAAATATGTAAAAAAATTATTAAACCAATTTTTTATACAATTATTTTATTAAGTGTCACAATTGATATTATCGACAATTCATATTTCGAATCTACATATAATTATCCAGTATTTGTCTGCTGAAATACACTACTATTAATTTACTGCGTTACTGGCACTTCTGAGATACTGTTTTAATTGCTAATTTAAACGCTAATCATCTTTGTGTTATGTGAACTTTAAAAAAATACTCAATTTTTGACCTATGGCAAGAGCTGAGCAAATTGATTTAAAAATATTTTATTATCAATTAATAAAAATTTAAAAATATTGGTTGACATAATAATAAATATAAACTAATGCACCGTCAATAACTATAACATTTTTTAGGTGCAATGTATTTGGCAGTATTAGGACTAGAATAAAATTGAAGAAGAAAATAGATAATTTGCTCATCTCTGCTTAGAACTAGATGTAAAAATTGAGCTGTGAGAGCGAGATCGTGAGCGATTCACTTTCGTTTCTTCTTTTCTTATCAAAAATTGATTATTTTCGCAAATACATAATTATCGAATAATCTTAATCCATTACTACATAACTGATAAGCAAAAATGTAATTGCAAAATATACGATTATATCTCTAAGCAAGGGTGGCTATTCATCGCAGCTTTCGCGTTATTAAATATATATTATAAAATATTTTATTAAAATGTTTCTTGAGTATTATTTGATTTAAGAAATATCTATTTTTGAAATTAAAAAAACATAAAAAGATAAAAAATATTATAATATTTCTTAAATTAAATTCAATATATTAATTGTAATATAATTTCCATTCTTTTTTGGTCCATTTTACTTTCGTTAATGCGAAAACTCAACCACCCTACTACGCTAATATAGCAACGCGGTTACACACGGTTTTTTTTGTTCATAAGTACTACTTGTTACTTATACAAACATCATACATTTTTCTGTAGCTATTCATTCGAACATATCGAACATTCCCTTTTTTGCACTATCTAATATATGTGCGATGTATACGATATGAAAGCAGAGGCTATGATCCTCTACATTTACATGTTTTCTTCTCTAAAAATTCTTATCTAAAGTTTCCTAGAAGCTATTCAGACTTTAGTTAATATTTTTTTTTTAATCGTATATCTGTTTAAAAGAATAACATTGTGATCGTTTTTAACATTGGCTACAGCCTCTACATTATTTATTATATTTAATACTGCATTTTGAATAGACTAGTCTCATTTTTCGTCACATATAGTCATTGATATCATATACTAATTCCTTAT